GGCATTCGAGGGCAGGTAGCAGTAACTTACTACTTCGTTTTTGAGAGCAAGAAGGTCATTTCGACAAGTACTCTGCCTCTGATGTCTGTGATGATACCACAGAAACCACAGCATGTGACGACACGCAAGCAAACTCTGCATCCCTTTCGGAAGAGGAAACAAATGTGCACGCGCCCTCAGTCAGCGATGGCTCTGAAATCAACCATGCCTGCTGATGACCATGCTGCACATTGCCTTCTTGAATGTATGTAGTATCAGGCGCAAGACAGCCGAAGTGCAAAAGTTCTTGTCAAACAGAGGCATTCATGTCTTTGGTATGGCTGAGACTTGGCTCACTCCAGATATCTTGGACAGTGAACTTACTATCCCACATTTCAAGCTACATCGGAAGGATAGATTGCAGCAACGTGGTGGTGGTGTTGGCATATACTGCCATGAATCTGTTCTTGCGCGAAGACGAACTGACTTGGAGACTGACTTAGAGCTGCTGTGGATAGAAGTTAGCGTTTCCAGTGGCATAGTGCTGGTTGGATGCTGTTATCGTCCACCAGACAAACCTGTAGCATTCTGGACCTCCCTGGAGTCCAACCTAGACGCATCAGTTCATGCACCAGGAAAGAAGGTTCTGGCAACTGTCATGCTGGGTGATTTCAACGTTGATATGAAAATGAACCAGTCACCCATGGCCATACGAGTAACTGACTTGTTTAACAAGCTAAGGTTTGCCGGCGACTCCTGAAGTCTGCAAAAATAACCTTTGATATCTATGAATCAAAATCCAATTTGAATAAATTGTGTCACTTAGAATCTCTGCAATTTCGCCGTATCTTTATTTCTCTTGCGGTTTTATTTAAGTACATCAAATTTCACCCAGAATATCTCTCTCGCTTTGCGATAACCATATCACGTAGTGCCCGTAGGCCCAAAAAGCTCGTTTTTAACTCACATGGTCGTATTTTTTCATCCCTTTTCCTACAGAAAACTGGTTCTCTTTGGAATTGTCTTCCACCCCGATTGACAACTTTAGATTCCCTATCTGAATTCAAGCGTCATTTACGTATTCACATTGCTAAGTATCAGTTCGACTGCACTGGTACACCTTTGATGTGCAATCATTGATTTACATGCTTGTTCTTTTCTTTTCTGTCTTACTTTCTTTCCTTGTGTTTCTTATTATTCCTTTTTAAAACCAACATTTCACACTCACTTTGCACACTTTCTCCCGCATCCATAACTATGTTACTAGTACATACACAAATAGGAGATCCCCCAGATAGGCGTTAGCCTTTGGGTAATCCTGAAATAAAGATTATTATTATTATTACTGAAGTATTATTATTAACAAGTTTGGTATGACAAATTATGTGTCTTCACCAACACGTGCCACCACCCTTACTGAGTCAATCATTGATCTCTTCCTATCAACTTGCCCGCTGACGGGACCTTGTGAGATAGCCTACCTAGACATTAGTGACCACTTTGCAGTACTTGGGAATCTCTCTGTGGCAGGGTTTGCACCAGGCCGTACTTCCAGCTACAGACCTACACGCCGCATCCATAAGATAAACTGGGACACCTTCAACAGCGATCTCAGTGTAGAGCAGGCCTCTCTGCTCGCCATAGATGATGTCAACACCCTTGCATCATCTTTCATCGCCTCCATAGTGTCAACATTGGATAAGCATGCACCCGTGCGGATGAGGCGAAATCGGGATAGACGTCCCTGCCCGTGGGTATATGATGATGAACTTGTGGCCTGCGTACGGGAGCGAGACAGACTCCATCGACTGCTCATGAAGAACCGCTGCAATGATGATCTCCACAGTCAACACCGCACTGCTCGTGCCAAGACCAGGAAGCTGGACAGGAGCCTGAAGAACACGTATTTCATCCAGCAGTGCCAGACTTCTGACCAACGTAAACTTTGGTCAGTCATCAATACTGTGGTTGGCCGGAAGAAACAATCGCACACTGCTCAAGTACCCATATCGGATCTTAGCAAGCTGTTTGGTGACGTTGTCCATGATCCCCAGCGTCCTCCTCAGCTCTGTTCTCCCTCTGGTCCAATGGCGGAAGGGGCATTTACCGACTTCAGTGTAGTGACAGTCGAGGATGTGGCAAGCAGTTTGAAATCTGTCAACCCTTTCAAGGCAACAGGCAGTGACCAAGTTCCAAGCATCATCCTGCAAAAGTGTTATCCAACCATTGCCCCCAAACTTACACGCATCATTAATATATCCCTGTCCTCCGGTGAGTTCCCCCTGTCCTTCAAGTTGTCCCACATCAGTCCGCTCTTCAAGAGTGGAGACCCAAATTTGCCAAAGAACTACCGCCCTGTGTCACTGCTCCCAGTTATCTCCCGCATCACAGAAGTATTTGTAAAAAATCAGATCACGCAGTACTTGGACTCCAAGCAACTTCTTCCGCCTACTCAGTTCGCCTACCGAAAGCTTCACTCCACAGAAGATGCCTTAACGTATGCTGTTGATCGATGGCAAATGGCACGGGCAGAGCGCAAGTATACCGGCATCGTGTTTGTCGACATGTCAAAGGCCTTTGACCGCGTCAGGCATGAGCGACTCGTTACTGAACTGTTTAAGCTAGGCATCTCGGGAACTGCACTCAACTGGTTCTGCAGTTACCTGTCTGGCCGGACACAGCAGATCAAATTGCAGGATCAGTTGTCAGGGACTGTTCCTTGCTCTCGCGGTGTTCCGCAGGGCAGTGTCTTAGGCCCACTCCTGTTTGTAATTTACACTGCTGACGTCAAGTCAACGATGCCTCCGGATGTGGCAGATCAGGAATTCGCTGATGACATCGCTCTCGATTGCTCCAACGCGTGTCCCAAGCAAGTCTGCGCGTCTCTGTCGTCTGCAGTGACCAACCTCGCCAAGTGACATCGGCCTACTTCTGAATGCCCAGAAAACCCAAGTTCTGTTTGTAAAGCCAAGAGGCGGTGCTGATGTTCAAGAACATGTACGTTGTCGAGGACAACCCCTGGAAGCAACAACATCTGCGAAATACCTGGGTGTTGTAATCGACAATGACCTCTCCTGGCAGCCACATATCAGCCATGTAACACGCAAGATCGGGCCAGTAATTGGACAGCTATGGCGACACGGCAGGTCCCTGAGCCTAAGAGCCCGCCAAGTCTGGTATGTCAGCATGATACAGGCTAATCTGTCCTATGGATCCAACTGTTTCTTCTCCAGTCTTTCAAAGCAGCTCCTGGATAAACTCCACCGCCTGTCAAAATCCGGTGTCAGAGCGACCCTGCAGCAAAGGACTCTGGTCCCGACTGCCCCCTTCTCGAGCTACTGGGTGTGCCAAGCTTGCCACAGCTTCTCTTCCAGAAGCTTGCCATCTTCGTTTTCAAATGTTTAAATGACAAGACAAGTCCCCTGTTAAAGAATCTGTTCGTGCCGATCAACGACCCTGCCACACCTCAGCTGAGGACGACACGGGGTCAAGTGTCAAGCCTGCTGAGAGTTCCGTTCCTCCCTGGTCCTGCTGGACGTCGTTCAATTCAGTTTGTTAGCAGCATTCTGTGGAATGCTCTCCCAGTTGCAGTCCGTACGGAAGGTGATTGGCAGACATTTAAAGCTCTAGCCACGGCTCTCGACTTGCCCAGCCTTTACCCATATTAACATTCTGTGTACCTAACTTCATGTCGAAATCCATTTTAACAATCCGCATATCTCTCCTCCCCCCCCCTCTCTCTCTCTGTGTCTCTGACACACACACACACACACACACACTCTTCCTCTCTTTCTCTCTCTCTCTCTCTCTCTCTCTCTCTCTCTCTCTCTCTCTCTCTCTCTCTCTCTCCCTCCCTCTATCTATCTATCCATCTCTCTCTCTCTCTGTTGTTATTATTGTTGTTGTTGTTGTTGTGTTTGTTTGAAGAAGGGGTTGTGTTTGTTGTTGTTTGAATTTGAATTCTTTATTCTCACGATGGCACCATTGTTGTTGTTGTTGTTGTTGTTGTTGTTGTTGTTGTTGCTGCTGCTGCTGCTGTCGTTGTTGTTGCTGTTGCTGTTGGTCATTTTGTAACAGCTTGTACAATTCCCTGTCCAGGTAGTAAAGCCGTCTCTCTCCTCTCTCTCTCTTTCTCTCTCTCTCTCTCTATCTCTCTCTCTCTTTTTTTACATACAAAGTGTCTTGCTGGCGAATTGCTGGCATTATGGAGCAACAGAAGTTCCGCTGTAGATACTGTTCTACTGAGGCGGTGGCTTTTGTTGTGTGATGACATAGATACTTCGAAGTACGTGGCAAAAGCCAAGCTGAAACACCAAAAGCAAAATTGAGTTAAATACACACACAACACATGTACAGTACCAACAAGACAATGAACTCACTGCATGCTGGGGTGTTCAGGTGAACCCACTGCATGCTGGGGTGTTCAGGTGGACCCACTGCATGCTGGGGTGTTCAGGTGGACTCACTGCATGCTGGGGTGTCCAGGTGCACCCACTGTATGGTATCATACTTTACACAATCATCACCGAAGCACAGCGATTCAATGCCAAGTCAAATAGCATTGAGCAAGACAAGTCTCCCATACATCAGTCCAAGAAGCTAGGTTGTGGCAGACGCACAGCTGACATGAATGAAGTACATGTATGTAAAAGTAGAGTGGAAGGTGGGAAGCTTGGAACAATAAATCAACCACAAAATTGTAATGCCACATGAGTTCCAAACAATCCAAATCAGACGATACCAGATAGACTCAGTGTCACCCACCCTGGGCAATAAGCGTGAACAGTGAGAAGTTCCAGGCAGGCCGAATCACAGCAGTACATGTAACATCAACTATACAATTGCCCAACGACATGCCTCATGTCACTTTGCCTTCCAACAGAATCACATAAATCCTAGCAGTGGTACACTGATGAAAACTGGTGTGAAAATATCCTCCCCGGATAGATATACAAGTAGGTACATGAATGTGTGGAAACAGGAGGTGGAAGGATGGTTTGAAGTGGGGAGAGGGGGTGGGGAGAGGGGGGGGGAGGGGGGGGTACTACCCTGTACAGGTACAGGCGTCGCCAAAAGAACTCCGACCGATACCATGGTTACAGTGGTATGGTAGATCTGTACGTGTTCACCGGCGATACTGCACCGTGGCATGCATGCACGTCAGTAGCAGCACAGCACTGAACAGTTATAGCCAAGGCAGCGTAAACTGTTTACCACGTAATGCCCTACACAAGAGTAATTTCATCTCCCGCATTGTTGAGTGCGACAATCCAGTACAGGTCACCTGTGACGTTCGGGATGGTTTCTGTGACGCCCGTTCTCTCGTGTCTACCAGTGAGAGTGTGACGATCGTGATCAACTGTTAGAAGAATGATGTCACCAGTTTGCCACGGTTGACCAAGGGCTGTGCCGGTGTGGTAGTTACCAGCACTATGGCCGAACCAACCAAAACACTGTGCCGTGTCCTGTTGGTATTGTTCAAGCTTTGGATTACTGGACGAACAGGCAGAGAGGAAGATGTAACCACCGGCGGTCTTGTCAATCCTCACCTTCAGTGTACTGCTGCCAGTATCAGTGACCATAGGTGTGGTACATGCTGATCTATAACCACCACTGGTCCTTTTCAGTGTGCGACCAACATTGGTGATATTCAACTGACTGCCACAGCGATTTCCATCAAACCTCGGAGTCGCCGACACCACCAGCTTCTGTGGACTACCCTTCAGATGGACACAACCAATCTTGGCTGAGATGTTGTAGTGGCCAGTTTGCAATGGAGTATGTCGGGCCTGTATTTTTCCGGTAGCAGGTGTAAGCTGTGTACACATGGTGGTTGTGTCCTCATCGAGACCGGATATTGATATCTCCAGTCCAATGTTTTCCACTTGCTCTTGCTCCACGATACTTGGGACAGCACTGTCTGGTAGCTCTATAGAGATGTTCAAATGGTAGTTAAGATGGGCATCGTCGGGACTCTTCAGTGTGCCATCAGCAACATCCAGCACTGCTCCTGTTTTGCTGATGTCATTGAGTAGGGATGTGGTGTCCGTCGTGCCAAACACAATGCCACTGGTGACACATGGCTCTTTCTCGTCCTCCGCAGTTTTCATGGATTTCACGATAGACGCATCCACCCAGGACCACACACGGAGAAGCTCAACATCGTCCTCAAATGACTGAAGAATGCTGGCAGCACTCTCTCCTTTCGACACACACTCATGAAGTTGGTGTAGTTGCTTCTCCAGAGGTTCCAGTTTCTGCAACCTCAGCTGATCGAGCTCGGATAGAAGAGAGGCCTCTCGCTTCTTCACAGTCTCCATCAGTGGCTTGAAGAAGTTAGATACCTTCTCTGAAGTAAACTCGGTTTGACTGTGTACCATTCGAATGTTCTTCTCCACGGTCTCTATGACACTGCTGACAACACCATCACATTCTGATGTACAACTGCTCAGCTTAGTGGAAAGTGTGTCACGAGTGTTTTGTGCAGCACTGGCAATATCCATCACACTGGTGTCTTCATCATGTCTATGTGCTCCAGTGTGCATGCAATGTGCACACAATAGCTGATTGCACTCCAAGCAAAACTGTTTCAACACTTCATTCGTGTGTAGAGCACATCTATGCTGGACCACTGTGCCACTGCTGTTGCCACTGCTTGTTGACTCTGTGGAGGATGCAGACAGCGACTTCACTGTGTGTCCTTTGCCGAGTTTCGACAAAGGATGTACAGCAGCGTGCTGCTCACAGAATTTGAGGCTGCAGTTCTCACAACCCACTGCAGCTGGCTTTCCATCCCAGCATTCGTCACAGGTTTGAATGACCTGATCTCGGCCTGCAGCCGCTCCAGTCATCATGGTCATCGTATCGCTTGCTTGAACGACATTCGGTAGCGATCGTAACGGCTCTGTACCAACAGGCAATTGCGTAGCGGACAAACACCGCGGACACTTTATGGAGCCATCAAATCCCAAGCTGTTCTGCAGGCACGGCACACACAGTGCGTGCAAACACGAAACAAACTTTAGAGTGGTCGTGGACGACCCACAACCACCACACTGCACTACGGACGACATTATTTTACGCTCCTGAAGCCAGTGCACTAGTGAAGGAGCTGAATCTTCGTACAATCTGAAGGGCCCAGTGTAATCAATAGATCTACGGGTTGCAGTTCATCAACAAGATCAATCATCAAGTAACAGTTTTGTCTTCGCGACTGTTTTCTCCTTTGTAGTGTGTGTAAATGAGGCCGAGCCTCAAACTAATAAGTCAGTGAGCTCTGCATATATGATGGACCCAGCAGCGGGCCTGTTCCTATAACGGGGGGGGGGGGGTAACGGGTCGGTTTGGGTGTTCTCCCAGGTTATGCGACAACGTCAAATCCGCCATATATAGGAGCCAGTTGGGTTGGCAAAATGCCCAAAGCGGGCACAGAAACCCCTTATATAGAAGAATTTGGGGTGGCAATGACGTGTATCGCATAACCTCTTATAGAGGTCGGTTTGAGTCGCATATATGGACAGCTCAGAGTGCACAGTGCTAGAGCTCTAGAGGTGCATATCGTATGCCTTATAGACACAAAATAATAGCTTGTAGCTCAGAGTACACAGCGTCATGTACACTCTGTGCTTCAAATAAGCAAAAAAGCAGATGTAGAAGGTCAACTAAATACAGTCAGTATCGCCTATACTAGCGTTGGTGTTTGATTTTGAGCATGTTATCACTATAAGCGATATATCACTATGACCGATACTGCATGCAATGTATGCGAGTGGGGTGTCAAACGACTCAGGGCGTCGTGCACATACGCACTGCATAGCTGGCTACAGCTCATGTCACACAACATCAGCATTTCCTCACGATGGAGGCATATTTGGCAACTTTTACAAGCAGAACTCACCAAACAACACTGGACAAGTTAGTTCTTCACGAAGAAGTAGCACCCTGTTCTCCTCTGACACCACTTGATTTTACATCAATCACTATAATCGATGCAAAAATAATGCAATGAAGGTCTTTTGAAATAAGAATGTGATCACTATAGGCGATATATTACTATAGACTATTATTACTATACGCGATAACTGTGTATACTTAGTTATGGCAAATGAAAATGAATTTGAGAAATTGATCACTATATCCGGTATATTACTGTAGCCGCCAACCTTATAGGCGATACGGACTGTAAAAGGAAAACTGAAGATCAGAGGATCAACTAAAGGAAATCAAATTTTTTCTGAAAAATAATGCCTTTCGGAGTGGAAAAATGGGACGCGATCATGCACATGTGCACAGTAAATAGTTTGACCATGACTTCGCAGCGCGTGCTCGAGTCGAGACAAGATTTGAGGAAGAAGCTCAGCCACTAATGGACCTGCGGATTTGTTTTGACAGTTTTTGGATAGCTCGGTTCTCCTGCCGACGTGTCGTGGAGATGAAGACGCGGGAGAGTAATCTGTCACCCACGACGCGGCCTCTCATTCTGCGTACTGGACGATGCAAGAAGCCGAGGAGGGGGACGCTTCGCAAACTCAAACGATCGATCGAGTTCCTGAAAAACGGAAAGGGCGATCTCCACCACCAACGCCACTGGATTCGACTCCCGCGAAGAGGTCGTTCAGTGCCCCTCTTCACTGTCGACGAATCGTTCATCTCAGGTATCTGGCTGTGGGATTGTCTGCGTGCCAGAATCCTGGATGTGGCAAACCTCTGGCGCTCATTGATTGCGTTGAAGAGAAGAGGTACGGGTGGGATTTTGAATGCTCTAGGCATGGAAACTCTGTCGTTATTCGCGTATTGTCGTTATATCCGCAGTCGTTACTACGGAGGATTACTATTAGCAAGACGAAATTCGCGTTCGCGTTCGCTCTCCAAGGAAAGTCGAACTCAGTGACGGAATTCGCGTTATGAGAAGGATTAGCAAACAGAATTCGCACATGCATGACGTTGACACGACGTACATAATTATTATTTTTCGATTTTGACAGCATGTTACAAGGCGAGGACGCGACGACTTCTACAACACAAAAAACGAAAATTATAAAAAATCCTACCAACCCCTAGAGTAACCATGGTAACGAGGGTCCGAACCTGGGTTTTCCCAATACGGTTCAAATGATCGCAAGACCGGGACTCTGCCAACCGGGTTATTATTATTATTATTAACTTTTATTTTACTAGGGTGTTTCCCACAGACCTACATGTATGGTCTTCTTACGGGAGCCCCTAGGAAGGTTATGCATGAGCGAATAAATGAGCGGTAATCGGTACAAGTACGAACAGTGGAAGGCAGCATATTCCACCGGTCAGCAGCGAGATAGCCAATCCGAGAAAAGCCAGCCGTACTCTGTGCTGGGGGTAATGCCAAAGAAAAAGACACCTGGGATCTCGTAGTGGCAGTGGTGTGAGAGCTACAGCAGCGGCTGGTAAAGATTTCTTGAAGCAAAGAGCTGCATGTTCCGCTATGGATGCACTGGAACAAAAGAATGAACAATTTCAAATTGACGCGCACCGAAATATGATAAAGGCTGTAAAGGCTAAGAATGTGTGAAGCACTGGTAAACTTATCAAAACCAAATACTATTCTGAGGGATCTATTGAACAAACGGACATACTTATCATAGTTCATAGAACTTAGGGAATGGATATAAGCGCTGCTTGCATACTCCAAGGTTGACTGAATGACACTTAAATAGAAGGTACGCCGAGCATGGTATGGCAGAAGATGGCGGGATAAGCGGTATGCACCAAGTTTCCTGTTGACAGAGCCTACAAGGTTGTCTATTTGTGGGCCAAAAGTCAAGTTTTCGTCAAGTACAATACCCAAGTAACGAGCAGACTGCGTGCGGGGAACATGGACACCATCAATGGTGACATAGGCAGACATCGGGACATCGGTGGTCTTGCGGTGGAGCAGTATGAACTTCGTTTTAGCCGGATTTAATTTCATTCGCTTTCCTTTCAGATAATCCGATAACTTAATAAGATCGCCGTTCAATTTGTCCACGACTTCTTCAGTAGTGTCACCAGCTGCATACATGTTAACGTCGTCAGCGAACTGAAGTACAGATGAGGCACTCACACATCCAGGAAGGCCTCTTACGTAAATGCTGAATAGCACTGGGCCCAACACAGACCCCTGCGGCACTCCTTGGCTGCACGATGCACGAATCAGATTGTCCGGCGCTATGAGCTGCTGTGTCCTGTCACTCAGGTAATCTTTGAACCATGCCAAAGCCGCATCACTAACTCCGCAATTAAAAAGTTCGTTCAGTAGCAGCTGATGGTTGACGCTGTCGAACGCCTTCCTCACATCTGCGAGAACGACGCCAATGACCTTCTTCGAATCGAGATCCCTTTGCCAGCTGTCGATCGCAACAGCCAGAGCCTTTTCACATGAATGATGCCGTCTGTACGCAAATTGTTGTGGCGGGATGATGGTGGGGTTCTCCAGTAGGAGGTGAGTAAGCTGGCGATATACATGCTTCTCGAGGACCTTACTAGCAATGGGCAAGAGAGAGACGGGTCGGAAGTTTCGCGGCTCTGAGCGGTCTCCGCCTTTGAAAAGGGCTCTGACGGATGCGTGTTTGAACAAAGCTGGAAACTTGCTCTTCTCAATGGATGCCTTGAATATTGCACACAGTGAGCCTGCTAGAACTTCATGGCAATTCTTAAACAGGATCGAGGGTATTCTGTCCGGCCCCGGAGCCTTGTGCACGTTCAGAGTGCGAAGAATCTTCAAGATGTTGGTGACTGTAGGCTGCGGTATGGATCACATTGACGGCTGGCGATGTGGACCGAATGGACAGAGAAGTGGCAACCCTATCAGGATCAGTGACAATGTGTTGGAAAACCTGTGAGACTCCTTTGTGGTCGATTCCTTCGCCACTGTCCTTAGCCTTTCTGCGGAGCAATGCATTCATCAGGACCCATTGGTTCCGGGGCTGTTTCTTCACCGACATAAATTCATTCTGGTAATACCTGGAGCGGAGACGTCTGTTCAATAGCGTTCCTTCCCGCCGCACCCGACGGTATTCTTCTAAAAGGGCAGGATCGTTTGATCCTTTCTTTCTGACTCGACGGTGGAGGTACTGTCGCCGTGCAAGGAGAGACCTAAGTTCTCGAGTAATCCATGGCTTTGGCAATCGTTTAATCAGTTGAATGTTTTTCACTACATGTGGATCTAGCTCGTCCAGGACATCATTAATGCTGCCATGCCATTTGTCTGCAAGGTCATGAACAGTAGTGTCAGCGGTGATTTTGTTTCCAGTCTCCGTGAGGGCTGAACCAATTCTTTCTGACATCTCTTCAAAGTCAAGTGTGGAGAGAGGCTTCTTTCGAGTTCTGACACGGATACGTTGTGGTCTGTCCACCTGGCTTCCTATTTCAAGACAAGCCTTTACAGCAAAGTGATCACTAATGGGATCTGGGATGACATTCACATTAACAGCAGTGATATCGCTAGTAATGCAGATTACATCCAAACAAGACGTGGAACGGAATCTGGTTGGCTCAGCCACTACATTACGAACATTGTGGGCAGCACACATATCTCTGAAGTGGGAAGGAAGTGGATCGGATAAACAGTCTACATTTAGATCTCCTAGAATGCATAGCGAACCATGCTTGATTTGGCGAGTCACATCATCAATATAGCTAGTAAACTGTTCCCAGAATCCTACTCTTGACGACGGGGGTCGGTACACACAAACTATAGGCAGGCACCACGTGATGCGTCCGGGTCTGCGGAACTCTAGTACCACACTCGCTGCCTCAAGCTCGCTATCATGTGGGCTTAAGTGAACGAAACCCATCCGTATTGTTCTTCGAACATACAGCAGTACACCACCTCCTCCCTTTCCTCCACATCTGTCCCGTCGAATGAGTTCAAAACCAGGCCGTGAAATCGTCGAGTCCGCGATCGACGCATCCAGCCAAGTTTCAGTAATGCATAAAATGGAGAAAAAAATGACGGTCCTGTCAGTGGACATGGAAATCCAGCCGAATGACCGGGGCCTGCGGCCTCAGAACGCGTGCATGCAGTGCACAATGAATACAGTCAGGTTTTCCGAGGGAAAGCAAACACACTTGCCCTACCACTCAAGCGATAGGGCTGAAGCTTATTCAAGACTACAAGACTTATGACGTTCTTTCCAGATCCAA